CAGAGCGGAGCTCAGCAGGCCTCTCATTTCGACATGACGCTGATCGTGGACAAAGTCAGGCAGCTGACCGCCCCTTCAGCACGCCCCACAGAAAGCCAGCCAAAGGCAAAGTCCATCTCCAAATTTGCGCAGAGACACTTTGACAAAATGAAGGAAGATCTAAAGAAGTTGTACAAGAAAAGCATTGAAAAGTCAGTGGTGGACTTGCTGGATCCCAGATCCCAGCAGCCTGAGGATGCAGCCTACGACTTTGTCTTACCAGGAAGCATCTCAGAAGTTCCCAAGTCTGGGTCACCAACTGGAACCGCACAGAAGAGACTCAAGACGGTGATTAAAAAGGAGATGTCTGAGATGAAGTTTGACACCTTCAAAACCAACCTTGAGGACTTAATAACTGAAGTGAGCTCGTCAGAAGAGTTCCACGAGAGACTGGAGAGCTTTACTCGATGCAGCGAAGTCAGAAGCTTCCACAGAGAGCTGACAGACAAGCTGTACGAGCACTTGACGACTGGACAGATGTATCACACCCCCCTTGTTCCAAAAGGTAAATGTCTCAGACTCGGTTATGTCAAAGATCAGGAAGCAAGTGGATGGACAGCAGAGGAGCTTCTCTCCCCAAGTTCTGTACTCCATGACAGAAGATGCTGTTGGGAGATTCGTCCAGTAAATCTTCCTGCTCCTGATCGAAGAAACACAAGAGCAAGTGGCTGATAATGAAAAGGCATTAGGCGCTCTTCAAGATATTGAGAACCTCCTCAAAGTAGGAATTCCACCACTAGAGGATACCGGGACTGAGTCTGAGTCCTCTCAGGAGGCAGATGTGAGCAAAGAATCCAGTTACTGAGGTTCCATCCTACCGAGAAGAGGAGGAAGCAGCCCCAACAGGTCCAGCAGCCCCCGGAGTCCACTGAGGCCTCCTCTGAGGGTCTGACCCACAGCCTGGCCATGGCGCTGCTGGTCAGCCTTTTAGCAAAGTGCGGTTTGGAGAGCGTCCACAGTAAACACGAAACAGTGGAAATCAAAAAGAAGTTGTTGTTTCTGGCGTGCCGTACAATGGCTCCTGGACGCGGCCATGGCTCCTGGACGCGGCCATGGCTCCTGGACATGGCCATGGCTCCATGGCTCCACACAGCAGCCACAGGGAGCTCATCAGCTCTCTGAAATACGAGCTGAACGTCACAGGCAGATCCAAAAAGAAGAGCAAAATGAGAGGGTTTTTTCTGCCATTGGAAATGGGATGGAAAAAACGGTCAGATTTTTTAGACACACCCGTGGCTTACTGTAGACGGCGTAATGCCGAAGAGAAAATGCATTTTAAGCTTATTTCAATGGTTCTTCCTATTGAAAATGGTTTTACATGCAGCATTTCACTCCTTCTCTCTAAATGTCTGTAGATTTGGTGGAGGGCGGGAATGGGCAATTCAGAGTTTTTTTGGGGGGTTGGAGGCTGTCAGGTTTATGTGAAACAACTTTTTGTTACTTCAGCTCTTCTACCAACAGAAAATGCCTTTTCAGCTTATGTTCCTTTTTTAAAATGATTTTCTATGCAGCATATCACGCTATTTTCCCCAAAGACATCAGATCTGGTGGAAGGTGGGATTGGGCAGTTGCTTTTCACTTTGTCTACTTTATTCTTCCTGTGCATTTCAAAATAAAAAACAAACCACAGTCTCTTTCTGATTGTGTTGACTTGTTCGTTTATGTAAGCTGGTATTACTGATAGAATGTATCTAAACAGTGTATAAAGTCTGAGTGATGTTGATCATTTACCATAGATAAATAAAGAATAATGAATAAAATAGAAGAAAATAGAATGTAACAACCATAAATAATCCATAGGGTTGAGTCAGATTTTTTTTGTTGTAAAATTAATTATTATGGAAGGATTTCCATTGAAAAAGAAGAAAAATGGCAGCTGAAGACCAGTTCTGCACAGAGATAAAGTGTTCTCATGGCAGGTTACTGAAGAATTGCACAACACCGATCTTAGATTAGAGAAATTCAGATAGACGACAGTTTGAGCAGACTAGAAAGAAATGATTGGAAGAAGGAAAAAATGAATAAAGGGCCTTGAAATCTTCATTTGAAAAATCCTAATGTTGATATGTTTAATAGCTTCAGGGGAATTTTGAATTGATTTGAACATAAATTTCAGCTAGAGACCATTTAAAGAGCAGAACAAAGAGTTTCTGCTGAGTTCACAGAAGATTCCAACCAATTGGATGAGGGGAATTAGCCCCAAAGCAGATGTAAGGTGAACTCATTTGAAGGGCAGCTGAAGAAATGGGGAGCAGTGAAGCAAGGTTTATGAGAAAAACTAATCGTGGAATGATTTGGAAAATAATATCAAATAAAGACTACTAGCAATAAACAAGAATACTGCATTACTTACATTTACCATAAAGTCTCAAAGTTATGCAATTATGGCTCTTTGTTACCTCCGCAAATAGACATGTTTTATATTGCCAGAGCGTTAAATGAAAATGTTTGTTTTTTTTCCAGCCTGCTTGCTATCTGGTCATAAATTGCTTGTTCACTATATTCCACATAGCTACGTCTCTTCCACTTTGCTCCTATCTAAAATCGATTAGACATTTTGAAATGCATGGTAATAGTATAATTCTATCAAATTGGGACAAAAGTGCCACTGTTTCCAACTTTTATTCATAGAAATGATGCTGTGTGATGCATTTAATCATCGCTGTGGCTGAACACGCGTGTCCTTTTTCCTGCTCTACAGCTGTAGCTGTTCCACTAGAGCACATTTCAACCACATGTTTTACATCTGGTGAATGAATAGTAAAGTGCACAGAATGAGAACAAATCAAATAAACAATTACATTTTGAGGATTTGACATATTGGATGGAGGCAGATTAATTACCGGCTTTTTTGAATCCCTGAAAAGTGTTCAGGCTAAATGAATTACTGATTCTGATCATTAAAATGACACTTGGGACCAAACACACCTGCACTCTTGTGACTCCGGGATAGACATCCTGGATTCTTTGGCAACTGTCCCTAAGGAGACCAACCACCCAGATCCATGTACTGGTCAGAAGAAGGGCCTTTTTTGTCTTTTCTTTGCATCCAAATGCAACAGAGCTGTCCTAATAGCACAAAACAGTGAATAACATCCATGACAATAAACTTTATTGTGTTCAGCCCCTTTTGCTGCTCTTTATACCAACTTTGAATAGTGACAATAGAAATGTTGAATTTTACAAGTAACAACATCACTTATTAGTATCATTTAAGAGTTGAAGTCATATCAATGTATCAAGCAATTCAAATAAAAAAAGTAGATTTTGGATGGTTGTCTGGCACAAGCATCAGTTATTTTAAAAATGCTTTGTGGTATTCAATGTTGCTCTTTTTGGAAATCAGAACTTGGCTGTAGAAACTTTAATCAAAGTACCTACTGCATAATAACATTTTTTAAAAAAAAAGTTAAAAAAACATATACTGTATATTTTTACTACCAATTTATGGATGATGGACTTATGTTAGCCCCTAATTTAAACAGCTTCTCTGTGAGACAATTATTGGCTAATGTTATCATTATGAGAAGATGTTTCAATTCAATTTTATGTTCAAATCGAAAATGCACCACAAACTGCGATACAAACTGGTATTATTGAGAGTAACAGAGCATCTCAAATCAGACCAACAGAGTTTCCCTCCTGAGCGACGTGATCAATAAGGACACCATGTGACCTCAGCGGGTTAAACTACATCCAATGAATAAGCCTGAAAATGTCCCGGCCTGGCCTGGACGGCAGATCTCTAGTCTTAGTTTCTGTTAGGACCTACTCAATGGAAATCATCATGGATGTTTTCGATGGTACCACAGGCTGAGCAAGAGGAATGACCACGCCGCCGCCCACTTTCTGCACACGATAGCAGCAGCAGCAGCCTGTTCATTGACAGGCTGTTCATTGACAGGCTGCTGCCCCCAAAGAGCCCCGCCAGCAAACAGAAGATGTACTCTTCCCCCTGTGCCAGTAACACATGAACACATCCTGAGCAACTGCCTACAAAGCCAGTGCTCTGTTATGTGTCGTCCCACATTATCTCGCTGTCCTAATTTCATTCCTGCTCCTCAAGTGGTACAATTTTCAATGGGGCACTTACCAGGACATCATGCCTCTTGTCAGCTTTCCTGTGCTGCGCGGGCATTTTTAGGCCTGAACAACCAAAGCAATGTGCAAACACATTGAAATACAAGCGTTCTTAATCTCATTACACTCAGTGCAAAGGCCAATTGAAATGGAAGCATTTAAGATTTGAGAATAGAAAAATATATTGCACATGTGTAAACTAAAATAGGTCGAAGCACTTCTGAAAACAAAATTATAAATGACTGAGACATCACAAATAACTGAAGTTTGAACTTTAGTAGTGTAGTAAGTTGACATGTCTGGAAAGTTTTTAGCCATCAGGATATTTTATCACCAGGACTTCACATGATTTCAGCCAATATGTTATTCCAAAAGACAGAATTCCACCTTTGGTAAGCTTCGTTTAAAGTTTGAACCTTTTTGATATTTCTTGGTCGTCCTCAAGATTTAATTTTTTGTATATCATCATCATTGCTATTTGGTTCAAGCATTAAAGGTCAAGGTCTACTGAAATGGTCTTAAATGTGTTCTTATTTGTATTCTTCATTTCCTTCTTCTTCAAAAACCAAATGTTGGAGTTCCCAGAACTCATGAGGTTTAGAAACTAATGTGAAAAATGTCATATTTTGGGGGTGTTGCACATCTTTGGCAAAAAATGGCCTTGACATCTTTTACTTTTGTGATGGTTCTGAAGCTGCATCTCTGGATTTTAACAAGGATTTCCACACAAGTATGGTGTGATATGCTTGACAAAAAGTCCACTGGAGTGTTGCAACAACCCCCCCCTCCTTCATTTCACTGTATAGGTCTTATTATGTGTGTGGCTAAATATCTGTTGGTAGTTTTTAATGAGACCTTGGCTTTATTCAACAGTGAAAAACATGCATGAGCGGTGGGTCAGTACCTGCAGGAGGAAATGTGCGTTGTTTCGTGTCTGTGGGAATCTGAGGGACTTTGGAGGCCTTTTGGTGTCATCCGGAACGACAGTCAAATCAGAGGATGGAACAAGGAATACAAGGAAGCTTAAATCGATGAGGTTGAATCGAGGAGGCTGGAGCAGTGGAGCTGTTCAGTCTTCTTCCTGAAGAGATCAGAGGCTGAAGACGACTGGCTGAATTTTGTCCCAGTTGTAGAAAAGGTTAGCTTTTGTTGTGTTTTGGGGTTTCTGGTGTTGTGAGTTGCGTCGTTTCCAGTTTTCTGGTGTTTTTATCGTCCCGTCTTATGCTTGTCTGTCTTGGTGTCCTGGTTCCCTGTGTCTCAGACCCCTCAGTGTCCTCTGGTTTGACCATTCAGTTCATGTATGCATTTGTATTTCATGGTGAATCTATAGAAAAAAAATCAGCACAAACACAAGATATAATTCACTAAAAATCAGAACAGATGTTCAGCTAAATATTCTCACATCATCAACGGCTTCACGGGCCAGCATTAGAAACCATATTTTGCAGTACCAGGTTAAACAGCTTTGTACTTAATGGAAAGCTCATGCATAAATTCCTTATGCTTGTAAATTAGAATTTAATGTATTTATCATATTGTCATTTCCACCACACACACACAGGAAAGTCTAGTTAAAAAAAAAAAAGAATATTTGTACAAAAAAAGCACAGAACTTGTCATGTGATAGGAGAGCCCCTCTGTGGAACGTCGTGGGTCCATGGAAGGAAGTGAAACGAGATATAAAAACAAGGCAACAGCTTTTATCCCTTTTTATGACCTAATGTGGTCTGCAGCAGTCCAGAAAACCGCTGACCTTTGACTTAGATGCAGGAGAGCAAATATGGTGGTTTAAGTGGGGAAGAAAAATTAAGGAGAGGGGGACATGTATTAGATTTGTTATATGATACATTATATCAATCAAAATATGCAAATTACATCAAAATCAGTTGATTTAGATCAGGGCTATCCTGCTCCGGTCCCCTTTGGGGTGCTGTCCTGCAGGTTTTAGAGCTCCGGTCCCCTTTGGGGT